AGGACTCCTATATGTGACCACATGCCTCCCAGGGGTTGGTGTCACCTCCATGTCCTGTCCTGGGGTTGTCCACAACCTCCCAGGGTTGGGGACCCCAACCAGGGGCGGCCACTGTGCCCACCATGGGCCCCCCCAGCTCCACTGGAGGGGACTGTGGGGTAAAACCGGGTGCCCAGTGCCATCCCAGTGCCATCCCAGTGCCATCCCAGTGCCTCCAGTGCGGCCGCGGCAGCTCCTGCCATTCCAAAGCCCAGGGATGGAAAAGCCTCTTCCCTGTCCCAGTGCTGGGACGGAGAGACAAGATGGGCCGGGCCCAGGTAACTGGAGCGACTGGTTTAGCTGGGCTGGAGGGAGCTCAGGGACTCGCAGCAGCTGGAACCTGTTCCAGGTTGTTCCTGGCACGGCCTCACTGCTCCTGCTTTGGAAGGAGCTTGTCCTGGGAATGTGCCAGCCGGGCATGACCTCCCCTCACCACAGCGACCACGGGACCCCCAAAAACCCCAGTGATGCCCCCCCAGCAGTGCTGGGGCTCTCCTGGCTGGTCCCAAATCCTGCTCTCCGGGAGGGTTTGGGCTTCATGGGAGCCCTCTGGTCCCACAGCCTGGCCATGTCCCCGTGCCTGGTGCAGGGACCAGGGCCAGGTTATTTTTGGGGGATTGCTGGCCCCGTCACAGGCAGCTGTTCCCCAGCTGGGCAGTCCCAGAGCCGGGCTTTCCCGGAAGGAGCAGCCGGATCCAGGGGACAGGGACACACTGAGTGAGTGCCACCGGTTCCTTCCCGTTCCCCCCATTCCCAGGCTCTGGATTTGGCCTCTCCCAAAACTCCAGGCCCCTCTTCCTACCCCACAGCAAAAATGGGAGCTGTGTCCTGCTGGGAAGCAGCTCCTGAGCTTCCTTTTGGGACCTCCGTTCCAATGGGACCCCCACTTCCATCTGGGACTCACAATTCCATCTGAGATCCCCGCTTCCATCTGGGACCCTCACCCCTGTCTGGGACACCCAATTTCCGTCCAGGACCCCCATTTCCATTCAGGACTTCCCACTTCATCTGGGACCCCTACTTTCATCCAGAACTGCCTGCTTCCATCTGGGACTCCCACTTCCATCCGGGACCCCCAACTCCACCCAGGAACCCCCTTCACACCCCCCTCACCTGCCCCAGGAACTGGACAGGGGACCCCCAGGACCCTGCATGTGACCCCAAACCCTCCAGTCCCCCCCTCCCTGACACAGTGGTGTCAGATGATCTCACTGTGGTTTTGGGGTCCCTGAGTGGGGACCGACCGGGCATTTCCCAACCCCAGGGACAGGAAGTGCAGGAGATGGAAAGGAGGGAGCAGGATATAATTAGCCCCAAATTAGGGCTGGAATTTGGGATAAAGAGCCTGGCACCACCCGGCTCTTGCGAAAAGCAGCTCCTGGCAGCCCCTCTCTGGGGGGTCCCAACCCTTGGAGGGAGATCCCAATCCCTGTGAGGGGTCTCAATCCTTGGAGGGAGATCCCAGCCCCTGTGGGGGGTCCCAATCCCTGTGGGGGGGTCTCCAAGAGGGGGGAAGATGATTTTGGAGGCCGAGCTCCCGCGGGGCCACCGGAGCCAGTCAGGCCGTGGGGGTCCAGCCTGTGCGGATCCGGGGCCGTAACGGGAGCCCGGATTATCAGCATTTCCAGGGCCGGCTCGGGAATCTGGTTTCTTGGCCGAGGCGTTGCTGGAGCAACGTCCGGGCTGGAATTGTGGGGCCTTTTGAGAGTGACAAGAGGCCTTTCAGCGCTCGGGGGGCCCCGGGGGACGCGCTGGAGTCACCCGATAGCCCCCTCGGCTCCCCCCGGCCCCGCCGGCTCCCATGTCAGGGCCCAGGACACCGGATCCCTTTCCAGCCCTGGGACAAGGGCTGGGCACAGTCCTGGCACCAGCGGCACCGCTGACAGATGGGGGATGCCAGGGGGACCCCGCGGGGTCAGACCCCGGGCGCTCGGGACACGAGGGGTCCGTGGTGACGCAAAGGACACCAGGGACACCAGAGACGTGAGGGAAATGGGCCTAGGGTGGGACTGACCCTAACAGCGACCCAATGCCCGCCCCACACTTCCCCAGCATCCCAGGGGTCCAGGCTCATCTATGGGGGGTGCACTGAGCCCTCCAAAGTGACGCTGTGCCCACCCCATCCCTTCCCACCAGAACCCCACAAGCTCCGGTGGGGCTGGAAGTACTTTCCAGAGCCATCCCAGTGCCATTCCAGGGGTCCAGACTCATCCCTGGGGGTGGTGAGGGACACATGAGGAGGGCACTGAGCCCCTCAAAGTGACACTGTGCCCACCCCATCCCTTCCCGCCAGAACCCCACAAGCTCCAGTGGGGCTGGAAGTGCTTCCCGGTACCGTCGTGGTGCCATCCTGGGGGTCCAGCCCCCCAGGTCCCAGCCCCCGCGGGGGTGGCCGGTGGTGCCAGCCGGGCTGTCCAGCCCTGGTATCGGATCCTCCCGGAGGGAGGGGGCTTGGAGCTTATTTAGCATCCCCGGCGGCCCGTCTGGGAGCACTCGCAGCACGGGGAGCTCAGGTGAGCACAGGTGGCCTGTGAGGGGCAGGGGAGGGGTCCCCCCATCCCAGAGGAGCCCCCCACCCAGCCCAGGGACCCCCACATCCCGTGGGTCGATCCCTGCTCAGCACCGAGGGACGGGAAAAACGTGACACTGCTGGGAAGGAGACAGGGCAGGGAGCGAGGTGTCATTGGAAGGGGAGCTGGTGGATGGGGTCTCTCCCCCTCGGAGGAGCCCCCCACCCAGCCCTGGGGGGCACCAGAGTGCCGTGGGACCCCCAGATTTGCGGTGTCAGCACAGAGTGAGCAGAGGGACCAGGACAGGGCAGGGGGTCGGTGACGTTTGGGGGCTGCCCTGTGAGGGGGAAGGTGGAAGGGGGTGTCATCCCGGCACTCCGGAGCCCCCCACCCAACCCTGGGAATGCCCAGGATGCCCTGGGACCCCCAGATCCACAATGTTGATCCCTGCACAGCGACGAGGGACGGGAGCGGGACCGATGTGACGCTGCCGGGAGTGGGAGGGGGAACAGGGTGGGCACACTGA